AGAGAGGTTCCTAACAGCAGACTTTCCCATCGCAATATGTTTTTTGATTTCCTGGCTGCTGGTGCCAAGAGTGTTGACCATGGAGCCGAGCAAACTGAAACTGTGAACAATCTCAATCTCTTCGCCATCCATCCTGATGCTACCAATTGGTCCAGTGGTGAGAATCTTTGTCTTCTTATCCTCCATTACTATGATAATCTTCACTGTGAAGTAACTGAGCACATGTGAACCTTTAGCCAGGGATTATTGAGATATCAGGAAGACTATCTAGGAGAATTTACCCCAAACCTATCACACTACCAGCTGAGTCAGTTCCAACTCACTGTGGCATTAGGTCCAACAGGACACACTGGACCCAGCTGGTCCTACACTGCCTGGTCCTGAACTACCCTCATAACCCTCAAACACTGCTAGCTGGTCCTACACTGCCTGGTCCTGAACTACCCTCATAACCCTCAAACACTGCTATGCTTGGGCTTCTTGTTAGCTGTTTTTGGTTTTAGTTTGAGCAAAGGATTATAAGGCATAATACTTTTCCATATAATAATTCATAAACACTGTTTTGTAACAGTGTTTAATTAATTGCCATGTTATTAGAGTCAGTGACTCTGTGTACTCCTTTCATCTTCTTTTTATACTTCCTGGATCATTCAACATTCTACCCAAACGATCTTTAAATATTGCCACCAGTGACTTGAATTTTTTTCAACTCCTTCAGCTTAAGAAACGCTGAGCGAGTTCAGCCCTTTTGATTTTCTGACTCCAGCTCTCATTATAGTATCTTGCTTTGTCGTCCCAAGCTGCCTTTTAAAATTTTCTATTCAGGTCTTTGATTTCTTGATATCTTCCTTTAGCTTTGGCTTCTTGGTGCTCTAATGCAATACTCAGAGTCTCATCTGACATCCATCTTGGTCTTTTCTTCTTCTTTGTAATGATCTTTTGCATTCTTCATGGACAATTTTCTTGATATCCTCCCAGAGCTCATTTGGTCGATGCTCATTGGTGCTTAAGGCCTCAAACCTGTTCCTGAGATGGTTTTGAAGTTCGAGTGGGACAGACTTAAGGTCAAATCTTGGTTCCCGTGGACTTAATTTTCCTCAACTTCAGCTTGAACTTGCATATGAGTAGTTGGTGGTCTGTCCCACAATCAGCACCTGGCCTACTTTTCACAGCATCCACAAATGTAATTGATTTGATGCCTATGCATACCATCAGGGAGATCCATGTGTATAGTTAGTGGTATATTCTTCGCCAGCACCATAATTCAAAAGCATCAGTTCACTGGCATTCCAATTCACTGTCCAGTTTTCACATGAATGTGAGGAGACTGGAAATACCATAGCTTGAGTCAGGGGGACACATTAGTCCTCAAAAGGCATCTCTGCTATTTTTAACACTTTAAAGAGGTATTTTATAGCAGATTTTCCACATTCAACACACTTTCAAATTTTTTATTTATACTAGTTTATTTATAACATTTGAATACATTGTTTTTCAGACCAGATTCTTACAATTTCCCTCATTCCCCCATCATGGGGCTGATTGTTTTCTTGATTGCTGCTTCCATGAATGTTGACCATGATCCAAGTAAAACAAAATCCCTGACAACTTCAATATTTTTCCATTTATCTTGATGTTGTTTATTGGTCTAGGAGTTTATTGTCTTTATGCTACAGTATAATCTGTAACAAAATCTATAGTTTCTGAGCGTCAGAAAACACTTCAAGTCCTCTTTGCTGTCAGCAAGCAAAGTTGTATAATCTGCATATAGTAGGTTTTTAATAAGTCTTCCTCCAATTCTGATACTACAGTCTTTGTCATATAGCCAGATTCTCAAATTATTTGCTATTGTACAGATTAATAAATACAGTGAAAGAATACAAGCCTAATTCTAATTTTAAATCAGGTTGGCACCGTTAAGTATTCTGAAATCTATATTTTTCACAATGTTAATCTATCCATATTTTTTAGGATCTACAGAGAAAAATGTTTCAAATACACATCTGATAAGACAAAGTTAAACATCTTTCTAGTAGTCTCTACTCCCAGGCAAGATCCATTTGACAGCAGCAATGACGTGCTTCATTCCACATCCTCATCTGAACCTAGCATGAAGTTCTGGAAGCTCCTTATTGATATACTGCTACAACCAAGTGTGAATTATTTTCTATAATTTTGCTTGAGTGTGATATTACTATTGTTTGATAATTCCCACACCTTTCTTTGGAATGGACACAAATAGAAATCTCTTCTAGTCACTTGGCCAGATAGCTGTCTTCCAAATTTCTAAGCATACATTAAGCCTTAAAATCTTGTATCCATTTGTTGAAACACCTCAACATCTCCACCTCTCCCGGAGCCCTGTTTTGGCCAATACCTTCAGTGCTGCTTGGACTCCTTCCTTCCAATACCATTGCTTCTTGACCCTGCGCTGCTTCCTGAAATGGCTGAACATCAAGCACTCTTTTTGGTTCAGCGGCTCTGTGTATTCCTTCCATTTTCTTTCATGCTACCTGAATCATTCAATATTTTACCTTAGAATCCTTCATTGTTGCAACTTAAGACTTGAATTTTGTCTTTAATTCTTTCAGCTTGAGAAATGCCAGGCTTCATCTTCTCTTTTTTTCCCCCCTAACTCTGAGTCTTTGCACATTTCATTATAGTATTTTACTCTCAAGCCTTTTAAAATTTTGTTTATTCCTTTAACTTTACAATTTCTTTGAATCATTTTAGCTACTCTACATTTAAGAGTGAACTCCAGAGGTTCCTCTAATATGCATATAAATACAATAGTGTCTATTTGTGTACATACATATGTAAAATGGTCCACCTTGATAGCTAAGTGGCTGTTTAGGCTGTGAATTAGTACTAAGGTTGGAGATGATAGCAGAATATTAAGATCAGGTGGTAACATGTTTCTTCTACTGACAGTGCAATAATAGAAAAACGTTTCATGATCCTTTCAAGTCGCTATTAAATGAGATATAGTGGTATGAGGCTTATTAAAGAAATGCTATTACTTTTTTACAAAAGAATACAATAGTTGCAAAACGATTTCTTGGTATTAAAAAAGAATAAAATATGGAATCATTTTAGGTCTTTAGGATGTTAGTTTTTAAAATGCAGTTGTTGCATATGGCAGGCTTTCAGAGGCAGTTAAACGCACGGGAGGAGAATGCTCATCCTCTTCCCCTGGCCTCAAACCGTGCATCTTTGGGATTACAGGCAGTTTCTTGCCACTAGGCTACTGGAGCTTCCTTAAATGCAGTATTATTAGTAATTATATAAACACTATTCTGTGACTCTGAATAAGCTGGTTACTCTATGGAACGCAACTTTTTTTCTAGAAAAGTATCAAAATTCTGTCATAGCACTGTTGCTAAGAATAATGATTCAAAATGCAAATTTAAAGTACTATATAAACAAGCACTGTGGCAATGGGACAATTAAAACAGACTTTCAAGGGGAAAAAAAGAGGAACGAACTTGGGGGGTAGAGAAAATAGTGCAACAATGAATGACTGGAAATCCAGAATCTCTGTAAATGTCCATTAAAATGAATACAATTTAATAAAATTTTAAAAAATAAAGTACTGTATAAGTATTTGAAATAATTTTTTTAAAAAAACCCAAATATACTGGTAAATTCATATAAAAGTAGTCAAAGTACATTAAAACGAATAAAATTTAATAATAATTTAAAAAAAGTAGTCAAAGTAAATTCTTTTCTGGAGGGGTGGCATAAACTACAAGAATCTTAACCTGTTTTTCCTACCCTCCAGATATAGAAGTTCTTTGTGTAGGAAGCAAATAAATTTTTAAAAAACACCCCAAAGAATTTTCTCATGTAAACCAAAATGGCCTTAGCAGTGTGTTCCACCTATGAAGTTCTGGTATTTTATGTACATACAGTATTTTATGAAGGTATAAATACAAATATATCTTGTTAAATATGTATGTTCAGAATCCAACTAAAAGGCCTAAAATTAAGCAACCCACATATTTTGGGCATGTTATCAGGCGGGACGAGTCTCTGGAGAAATGTAGCATGCTTCACAAAGTAAAAAGTCAGCAAGAGAGAGGGAGATTCAGTGAGCTGGACTGACGCCATGGCTGCAACAGTGGGCTCAGGAACACAGGTGCAGCACCAGGCAGGTTTCTTCTGCTGTCCACACTGTCACTTTGAACAAGAACCAGATAGACGGCACCTAGCAACAACAACAACAACAAATGTTCACTCTGAAGCACAATGCATTCTGAGAGTGTACTAAGGCTTTTGCTTGATTGACTCTATCGTTAAATTTGAGCAGGCCGGGTTTTAGGGGGATCAACTCACACGCCTTGTCTTGCCATACCTGATCTGCCTGGTGGATCCCTTACTGGAGGAGGGGGCCTCTCAGTAGGTGGGGGAGGAAGAGGGCCCGAACGTCCTGGTGAAGGTAAGGGTGGTGTCGATGAAGTAAGGGACAAATTCCTCTGTGGAAGCCTTGGAATTTCATCATTGCCACTGGAACCCGGAGGCACAGGAGGAGGACCAGGCCTGCTGGGTGGTGGTGGAGGAGGTGGGGCCTGTGAGGAGGATGTAGGCCTTGGGGTGGAAGGCACTGGAGGCTTGTTGTTTTGAGGGGGCGGAGGCGGACAGGCTTCTCTGTGGAGGGAAGGCCTGTTGCCTACTGGAGGAGGTGGAGGAGGGGGCTTGTCATCTAAGGCCCTGCTTGGGGTCGGGGGAAGTGGAGGCCTGTTGGAGAAAGGGGAAGAGGAGACTGGGGATGTTTGGCGTAAGGAGCTCCCAAATGCACCCCGGTTCCCAGGGAAAGGGGGAGGAGTAGGCCCTGGGCTGGGCTGCCTGAGTGCTCCAGGCACTGGTGGGGAACCTCGGTTGTATAGGCTTGACTGACTGGGTCTTGGCGTGTTAGGTACTGGAGGGGGTACACTGTCAGGCTTTGAGCCCACATCAGGCCTTGGGGGAGGCATGCGGTTCCTCGGAGGCTCTTGGGGACCACTTCTGTGGCCTGGAGAAGGCACTGGAAACCTCCCTGGGCCACTTGGGGGTGAAAAAGGTTTGGCAGATGTGGATCTTCCTCCTGGTGGCAAAATCGGTGGTCGGCTTCCTCCAGAATCTGATGAACAGGAGAAAAATTTGATTAGAAATCAGCAATACTTAACGATACTAGAGTACTAGAATAGATTCCCAACAATGTCTTCCCTTAGCATGTTTTACAATATAGGTAACTATTTACAGACACTAAGGTGGCACAGTGAGTGTGTTATGGGCTGATAAAAAATTCTGATAATTGAAAGGTGCAGTTCAAATACATCAGCTTCTCTGAGAGGAAAAAGATGAACATTCCTCTCTCATAAAGATTTCAAATCAACAACCTCAACTCAAACTACTGCCATCAAGTCAGAATAGACTCATTGCTGACCCTCCAGCAGGTTTTCTGGAGCTGTAAATGCCACAGAAAGAGACTGTCCTTCTGTCTTCCATGGAGCAGCTGGTGCCTACTTTTGGGTTGGCAGTACAACTCCTCACCCACTAGGCCACCAGAGCACCTGAAGATGGCAGTACATTAATTTATTCCTAGAAAATAGTTTATGTGGGGTCTTCCCGGAGATACAGGAGTAAGCTCTTTGGGAATTCTGAAATAGTTTGAACTTTATAAAAAGATTTAGGAGAGATCTCTTAGTACTGTGTGTGGACAAGAACAAGGATCAAGTTCTGGAGAGTTCCAGAGACATCATTATCATTCTAACAGTACAAGATGGTACCAGTGAGTGGGACTGCTGGTTCCGTTAAGCCCTTCCCCACCAGCTCTTTTCCTTCATATGCCATGTATCTCTCTTTGGTATAAAGTTAGTTATCTCAACAAAGAGCCTCATGTGCAAAGGTTCAAATTCCAAGAAAAAAATATATCAAGAAATATAATTGACAAGTTAGGACTGTAATGAAAAAGAATTAAGAAAGGAAGAGGTTTACTCAAGTGGACTGTATCATTCTGCAAAGAAGTTGTGGTTGCTGTTAGGTGCTGTGGAGTTGAGCAGGACCCACAGAGACCCCATGAACAGACTGGAAGTCAATCAAAATGAGGAAGAACAGTGACAAACATCCTTTAATAATTGGAACATGGAGAGCATAAACATAGACATTCTAGGCATTAGTGAAATGGGATCAACTGGCTTTGGCCACTTTGAATCAGGTAATTACATACTATACTATGCTGGGAATGAAAAAAAAAAAAGAATGGTGTTGCATTCATGGTAAAAAAAAGTTCATTTCAAGTTCTATCCTGAAGTACAATGTTGTGAATGATAGGATATTATCCATACACATAGAAGTAGGCAATGAAAACTTACCCCCTCCTCAACTCAGGTCAACTTCCATTTTGCAGGCAGACAACCCTACTTTATAATTAATGTTAAATTGATATAGTTTAACAACATGAGAAACTAATGGGAGAATTAATGATAAGAGAAAAATCCAAACCTCTACCTCAGAATCCTAGAACAACTCAAGTGAACTCTCAAAACCCAAGTTAACTCTCCTTAAACTGCTGGGTCTGTTCCCCCGCCCCCCCCACAAACGCGTCAGATGGGTACTGTGCCTATGTCGTAACAAGGTGTAATGGGTGGCACATGTCATACAAAAGTATGAACTTCCAATCGTCATGCTTATGAACCGGAATGCACCAACTCTCTGTTGAGCATGTGCTTATGCCAATGAATATTCTAGTTGCTAGAGACAGAGGAGTGAACAGTAGAAAAGACACTGCTCTCCTGCAGTCTGCATTTCTGAAAGAGTAAACAATTGCTAGTAAACAAGTCTTTTTAGATAGCTGTATTATTAAAAAAAACAAAACACAGCTAAGGTGATGAGATAGAAAGTGCCCACAGAGACCAGGACAGCTGGAAGATGGAGCGGTTGGGGAGGGCTCTTTCAAGGCTGTGACATTTGAGCTGACCCAAGAGAGCCAGTCATGGAAAGACAAAGGAAAAAGGTGCTTCTGACAGAGGTGCCAGCTGGTGTGAAGTATCTGAAGTGGGAATAAGTTTACAAGTTCAAAAGCTCGAGGCCTGAATGGGCATTGTACACAGAGAGGAGGTGTTGATCAAATGGAGTTCGAGTGGGTAGTTGGGTCTGTATCGTAAAGAGTCCTATCAGCCAGCCCGAAGATGTTCTGATTTTATTCAAGGTGCAATGAGAACATTCAGAGGGATTTATACAGTGGAGCAACATGAATTCTAGAGAGAATTTTTTATTTAGACTTTAATGCCAGTAAGGCTGTGCTTTTTTTGAGTGCATGGTATATTTCTCTGTCACTAACTTGTGATAAGTTTTATCTATCTCTTGGCTGTGGTGACAGGGAATTTCAGATTAAAGTTGTGGTTACTATCTACCTAACGTGTACAGAATCTTCTAGTATATCATGCAAATTCCATCTTCATTTAATACAAATGCTTATCTTTTTAAAATCTTATTTTCTTCACTTATTGTTAGAACTGGATGGATGTGTTTCTCACCTGCTTCAAATATTTTTGTTGCATTTTAAATAAACACATTTAATTGCAGGTCTGGTAAGACAGAATCTCTTACATTATGGAGTGGTTTCAATATTATACCACTTAGAGCTAAAATTGTGAGCTGAGCCTGATGAAGATCAGTGATCTTATCTTCATGTGAAAGTAAGTATTGCACAGTCCCCTGGTGAATATTTTTGAAAAAATGTTTCCAGTTACAGAATGATGGATAAAATTCCTCTAACCATAATACACATTGAAAAACTAACTAGTTTCATAGTAAATTTTCTTGTGCTTATGTAGTCACGTGGGAGCTCTGATGGCTAAGTGGTAAGAAACTTCACTTACAATGTAAAGGTACATGGTTCAAATCAATCAGCTTCTCTGTTAGGAGAAAGATGTGTCTATTCCCATGTGATGTACTGCCTCTGAAAACCTGCTGAAGGGTCAACTACAGGACATCTCCAACTCAATGGTACTTAACAACACCAACAAAGTAGTCTGTACATTTTTAAGTAGAGTGCTTCTACTTAAGTAATGTATTTAGTGACCAGATTGAAGTTTTCTGCATTAGGCCATGGACCATCTTATAGGCCCATTCCCATGGCTCCCTACAGGGAATACTCAGAATCACGGGCACTGAACTAGCAAATGTGTGTCCTACAAAACAATATCTAGATTCAGTGGGGTTTGTAACTGTATTCCATATGAAGTGCTTTATGCTGTTTTCTGACTGTGGTTCCTAAGCAGGACAGCACTGGACAGGTGAGTAGGCTTCCTCACAAAGAAAGACAACTTTGCCTGGTCCCCAGGGGTGACACTCACTCACTCCTTGCCATCAAGTAGGAATCGACTCATAACTGACCCTTCAGTAGATTCTCAGAGGCTGTAAATCACACAAGAAGAGAATGTTCACTTTTTCCCCAAGGAGCCGTTGTTGGATTCAAACTACCAGCCTTCGGGATGGCAGCATAACTCCCTACACTGTAGACTACTAGAGCTCCTTTTCTCCCTCTCTAGCTCAGACATTTGAAATGTTCAAACAGGCACAAGTTACCTCAGAGACACTGGACAAATAGCCCATAGCTCTATGGAGTAGCTAAACCACCCCCTCTGATCATTCATTCTTTCTTTTTTTAAAAAAGAATGATGCTAAAGGAGTTGCACTGCCAACACAAAGGCACGCAGTTCCAGTCCACTCACTGCTCTGTGGGAAAAAGCTGGACAATCCCCTCCTGTGTATTCACAGTCTCTGAAAACCCACTGGAGGTTGGCTAAGAGTCAATTCTGACTAGACAGCACATCATAGTAATGACAACGACCACCATTTAAAAAACTGAAGATGTTTTAAAGGATATAGCCTCAGAGGTTCACCGAGCCTCCAAACTATCAAACTCTGCCTGTCTGTCTCCAGTTACTATGGAGGAAGGAGACTCTGGTTACCATTGTCCCTGTTGGCCGTGGATCTTAGCTTGGGCATTCCAGCCTGGAACAGTCCTCCCAATCCAGGTGGTCCACCTCCTCCAAAACTCCCGCCGCCTCCTCCACCACCACCGCCAGCTCCTCCACCAAAGCCGCCGCCGCCACCACTGCCACCAGCACCAGCTCCTTTAGGTTCTGCAGTTAGGAAGAAAGCAGGTCAGTTTACACATATGAGAACACCGACTGCCGTTATTTCAAAAGTCTCACCTGGTTAAACAATAAAATAACAATTTAAAAAAAGGCTGGCTGAGCCTGGGCTTAGTATGGATAACTGGAATGCTTTCTTTAAAATGCAGGGTTTCACAGGTTCATCTTACTCTCAGAGAAGTGTTTTTCTCCACACCAGGGCAGTTGCAGATGCAGTTGGGGAAGAAACAGTAAGAGATGCTGGTTTGAACCCATGTCCCCAACCTGACTAGATGGCGCCATATGGGTTTATATATGTTTGTTCTACAACCCAACTAAGATCTGGCAAATAAAAGAGTCTTCAAAGAACCAAGGTCACAAGACAGAGGAAGCTGGGAACAAAAGGGAAATAGTAAAATTAATAAAGATAATATCTCATTATTTTATTCTTTGAAAATATTGTTGCTATCTTGGTGTATTTGCTCATATCAGTATTTTTTTCTTATAAATATTTCTCTTAAATCAAGACCAAATTTAATAAAGTTTTTAGCTTACTTTTTTACTTACTGATTTACTGCTATGTAAAAATACTCTTTTTAAAAGGGTTAAATAATTACATTTTATTTTAGAACATAAACATACAATAGTTAATTCATCAGTTTACTTGATGGTCTTCTGTATTATTTTAATTTTTTTTATATTGAAGAACCTGTATAAAACTATTTACACTTTCAACTAATCCTCATACTATATTATGAATAGCATTCTTGGGTTAATTTTCAAGGTTCTTGATACATAATATAAGAATGTCCTCTGGAAAGGTTCCCATTGGAAATATATGAAAAAGGAAAAATATAACCAGCATCACTGGATAATCTGTAGTGGTGGTTGTGGTGTGTACTGCTGCGCTGGAACCAACCTACAGCTGATCCTTATTGGTGTAGAAATATTTAAATAGGACCCTTAAATGTTGTGTAAGCTCTTACCTTAAACACAATAAAATAAATATATTTAAGCTTATGAATAGGATTCTTTTTTAGTCTCCTGTTAACACTGGACTTAAATATTTAAAAAAAGTTTTGCAATTTGAGAAGGTACATTGCAAATTCTTTGCAATCTGAGAAGATATAAAACAAAACAAAAAATGTTGTTTTATTTTGAAAATAAAAGGACAAAAAACATGCCAGGAAAAAGAAAAAAGTTACTAAGAAGTTGTTCTAGCCTTTGGGGTTATTTGTTTCTGCCTTTCATGGTCTGTGAGCTATCCTACAATTTTAAGTTTTAAAAATTATTAATATTGAAAAATTACCTTTGTCTATAGAAGTGCAAACTAGTTGTGTTCAGTGGATTGTAACTGATTATGGACCTGTTTTTCACCTAGCCGTCTATCTGTCTGTCTGTCTATCTAATACTTTGACTTTTTCTTTGAGTTGATTATAACATCTTAATAATGGTTTCTTCATTAAAAACTCAAAATCTTTGCCACATTTACATTTTATGTCTGTACGATAGTATTAATATTATTCCTCTAAAAATGATCTTTTAAAAACGTATGTGTCTATGTTTGTATTTATGAGGTTAAATGTAGTTTAATGTCTACCTCTTGCCCCCAAAATATTTTTTTTTAATTTTTGTTAAGTATAATGGTATGCACAGGAATCAGATTGATTACATAT